TCCCTCCCTCTCTCTCTCTCTCTCTCTCTCTTTCTTTCTTTCTTTCTTTCTTTCTTTCTTTCTTTCTTTCTTTCTTTCTTTCTTTCCTTTGTTGTTAATCCTCACCAGGGGATATTTTTTCTATGCTTTTCAGAAAGAGTGGGAAGGAGAAAGGGAGGGAGGGAGAGACATTGATGTGAGACACATCAATTGGTTGCCTCCTGCAGGGCCCTGATAGAGGGCCAGGAATGAACCTGCAACCCAGGTACACAACCCAGGTATGTGCTCTTGACTGGGAACCCAAGACTCTATGGTGCATGGCCAGTGCTCTAACCATTCAGCACACCAGCCAGGGCATCCCAGATTGCCCTCCCTCCCTCCCTCCCTCCCTCCCTTCCTTCCTTCCTTCCTTCCTTCCTTTTGTTCTTTCTCTCTTTCTCCTTCCTTCCTTTAAAAATATGTTTTTATTGACTTTTTTAGAGAGAGGGGAAGGAAGAGGGATAGAGAGATAGAAACATTGATGAGAGAGAAACATCATTGATCAGCTGCTTCCTGCACGCCCTCCACAGGAGATCAAGCCCACAACCTGGGCATGTGCCCTGACGGGAATTGAACCCTGACCTCCTGGTTCCTAGGTAGATGCTCAACCACTGAGCCATGCCGGCTGGGCCCAGATCGTTTTCTAGGCAGAGAAATACTTTCTTTTTACCTCAGTACACTTTTTTAAGCCTTTTTTCCTCTTCAGAAACAAGATTGAAACCCACAGGTGGGAAGGCTCCTTCCAGCTTCCTGTGCGCTGGGCCAGCACCTGGCAGAGGTTAGTGTCACAGAGACACTCTAACAAGACCGGAGCCTCTCCAAGCATTTCTGTGAAGGGCTCAGAGGGAAGGGCCGCAGGCCCAGGGGAGCAGGGGAGCCAGAGCTTATCAACTCGACGGTGGGGCCCAGAGATTGATGATGGTTCATTCCAACCAGAATCACTTCTAATCTGGGACTGTTTAATTCGATCTACTTGATAAGGACACTAATGATCACAGTTACCATTCATTAAGTGCTACTGTGAAAGGTTCTCAAACACACAGACATAAGGCCTTTAAATATTCCTTAGAAGCCCATGTGGGATATAAAAAATGCCTATTTTATATCCTAGTTGAAAAAGTAGCTCAGAGAGGTGAGGTGAACTGTTCAACGTCACAGAGCCAGGAAGTCACAGAAGTGGGATTACAGAGCCTGTGCATGTCCACCCAACAAAGCTGCCTCCTGCTGGTTCCCACTTGAGAAATCTTAGAGAGCCACACCGCAGATCAACACTGCAGCCGGAGCCCCACCACGGCACTCAGCTTGGGGCTGGCACGGACAGGCTCCTTCTGTTCAGCCTGTAGGCTGGGCCCAACTGCAGCTGTGTTTGGCCATCAAGGTGACTCAAAGTGCAGGTATCTTATGTGTTTTGTGTGGCCAGCCTGCTCCCCAGGTATGAAAGGGGCTGGGGCAGGGTGGGGGTGGGGAAGCACTTACTGGACAATTTTGCAGTTTGTCGTAGAAACATAGCGACCTGTATAGTGGATGTTGCATCTCACCACATTGTTGGTGAAGTCAGACTCCAAAACAATGTACTTAGGGTTCACGTGCACCTGAAGGAGGGAACAGAGAAAAGGAGTCTGGTCAGGGGCTGCACTTCACTTGGTCATCAGGGAAGGTGGTGGAGAGGCAGACAGACAGACAGACACACACACACACACACACACACACACACACGGGACAAAGAGAGGAAGACAGGGAAGTGGAGACATAGAGACAGAAATACACTGATGGAGGGACATGGGGAGATGCAGAGAGACAGAGGGAGGAGAGAAGAGACAGTCATAGTCAAAGGACACATCAGATCTCCCTTCTCAGAAGATGGGAAGCTTCCCCAGAGCCACAGCTCAGGCCAGGTGGGCCCCACAGCGCAGCATGGGGCATTCGGGGTCAGAGAGGTTGAGTCAGTGCCACCAGGAACACAGCAGGCAGTGAGGGGCCAAGCAGGGATCCCATGCCTGGTCTCCTGACTCCAAGGCTCTCAGCTTTTCACCACAACCCCATCTATATAACCTGTTGAAGGCTTGTCGGATGCCAGGTGGCATCCCCTGCCCTGGAGCCCAACACTCACTGAGATGTTGGCCCAAGCATAACCTGTACTTTTTTTCTGAAGAAGCGCTGTCCAGACACAAGGAAGCCTTTTAAATGTTGGATTATTGTGGGGTGGGGAGGTTCCCTGGGGTAGGCTGCATCCAGCAAATACAGCAGAACATTTAAGTCAAGTGGAAAGATGTTACTTTTAAGTCCTTATACATCCTTAAGGGTGGGAACCGTGCATTGCTTATGTGGGTTGAATCCCCAGTTCCCAGAATTCAGAGGGGCCTTTGCACATGTTTGATGAGTGGATGAAGGAAGGAAGGACAGAATGCCCTTGAAAACCCTGGCCCTTGGGTGAGGTGAAGAGAGGCCCAAGGAGCCTCCTAAGAGGCACTTAGGGTGGGCTGCTATGTTCTGACTGCGGCCCCCAGCAGCCATCTTCATGCAAGTTAAAGCCACCTCCCAAGCCGGTCTTCACTGCTCCTCCTTCTCTGAACTTCGGTGTGGAACAGTGGGGTCGGGGGACCTGGCACAATGACTCCCACCTTCACTTCACACCTGTGTGAAGGGAGGCTGAGATTTGCCTTCCCCAGGTGAGGCCATGACGACTCGGTCCTGCACAGCCTGCACAGGGATACACCATACTGGGCAGTGTGTCTTCAATGTGCTTTTCTACCTGCCCCCACCAAGGGAAGGGGCACTGGAGCAAGCGAGTATTGGAGGTGGAGTTTAGGCTGGAAGGACTCGGTCACAGGAGCCTCTGGCTTTGCAGGGTCACTGTGAGGAGCTGAAGGTCTCTCTCAGAGGGTGGTGTCCTCTCCCAGATGGCCTTCACTGCCCACAAACAGGGGGGTGGGCCACAGGGCTCTCCAAGTCCCCTTTCGCTTAGGGAAGACAGAGTCATCACCTACACCACCACACCTGGCCCAGGAGTCCTCAGTGTCTTTATGGAAAGAGGCTGTATCTGCCCCAGGCTGCGACCTTCAGGTGGGAAGTGCAGGCCTCTGCCAGATGCCCCAAGACGCTGCCTCTGCTCAGCTGCTGGGAAGAGGGGAACATGCCCCAAAGCTTAAGCAGATCTCAGAGGTGGCGACACTGATGTGAGCGTCAGGCTGCCGGAGGCGGTGCTCCAGGCTGGGAGGCCCACCTTGAGGATGTAGTTGCCGGGTTGCACATCAGTTATGTCAATCCACTGGCAGTCGATGTCCGCGTTGTAAGTGTCATAGCAGCCTGGGCTCAGGCCCTGAGAACAGGGACAAGAGTAGAGGGTGAGGTGCTATATACTCCTCAGAGGCCCTCATGACCACTCCAGCAGCCAGGGGCCCTCCTTCCTTTGTGCTTTGCCCTGACCTTGGTCTAGGGCAACTGCTCAGAGTGGGTCTGCTCCTCCTTAAACCCACAGGGCGGATGGACCAGAGAGATAATAAATATAAGCACCAGATTACAGGGATCAAATGAAGAAGGGCATGGATGGAGGATAGATGGGCACTTTGTGGTGTTTGGGCAGACAGACAGAAAGATAGAGCTGGGTAGACAAATAGGCAACTGGAACATCATGCCATCCTACTCTGTTGGAATGTTCCATTCTTTCCATGAGTAGACACCCTGGGAATGATGTAGGAAGGGGTCTGGTTGGGGGAGGGGGGCGAGTCCCCAAGGGGCCCTGTGGTGGCCCAAGGACTGGTAAGAAGACCCCCATTCTGTTGAGCAGAGTGGCCAGGGGCCTTGGCACTGGTCCTTCAGCTTGGTCCAGGCTGCATCACTGTCTGCTCCTCCAGCTCCCAGGGTGCGGCTGCATCCTGCACCCTATGCCCTGCACCCTAGCACAACCTGTGTGTGTGAGGTGCATGCGTAGCGCTTGAGGTTGCCGAAGTCGCAGGTGCTGTCCTCCAGGCAGAAGCTGGCCTTGTGGCCCTCGGCTACCTTCATGCCTGTGGCTGCATCCAACAGGTCATAGTGGCTGAACTCGTCCATGCTGTGGTAATGTCTGGAGGCACAGGACAGGAGAACAGAGAAGGCCTAGTCACCCTGGTGCTTCCCATCCCATCCCCCTCCTGAGATGGGCCCAAGTGACCCTGCTGTGACACAGCTTCTTGACCAGTCTGGGCTCCTGCTCTCCTGTGTCCCACAGGGCAGCACCTCTCCTGTCCCCAGCTAGCCAGGTCACCCTAGGAGAGCGCCCCTTCAGGACTCCTCACTTCCTTCGGGCCAGCTACCTGCACTCCCTTGGGCAAATGCCCTTCATTGTAGCCATTTCCATCCCTTCAAGGCGGGTTCGTCCATGTCCCCTCTTCCAGCCCAGTTTTCATTAAGGCTCCTTTGAGAAACTTGCCCCAGTGCTGGATCCTGGGCAGGCAACACCTCACGGGCCCTCCTACCAGCACCTCCCCTCCCCCAGCACTAACGGATGAGGGAGCTGGGGCAAGTCCTCCAGCCCAGAGGAGGGGTGGGAGAGGCCACAGCCCCACTCACTGGTGGCAGCTGTGCCACTCCCAGGTGTGCCGCGGCCGGTTCGGGAGGAAATCCGCTGTGCCCTGGTTCTTCACCCGCTGGGGGAAGCGCAGTAGCACCCGCACGTCGTAGTCAGTGGCCTCCGGGGCATAGGCTGTGCTGCAGGACAGGTGGGAAGACAGGAGTAGGACTGGGAACCGGGGCACCCAAACCCAGAACCAGCCAACTTGCCCTGAAGATCCTGATATCTGACCCTGCACTGCGGGAAGGCTCAGCCCTCTCCCCTCTCTCCATAAGACTGGCAGCCTCGGGTCTGACACAGCCTCTGAGGGTCCCTGGTGCCTGTGTGTGTGTGTGTGTTGGGGGGGGGGGGGGGGCATATAGAAATCTTTAGAAGTCTTTTTAAAAAATAGGCCGATCTTGCCCAGCCAGTGTGGCTCAGTTGGTTGAGCATCATCCCATGCACCAGGTCAGTGGTTGGTTTCCCAGTCAGGACACCAGCCTGGGGTGCAGGCTCGATCCCCAGGAAGCAGCGGATCAATGATTCTCTCTCATCACTGATGTTTCTATGTCTCTCTCCCTCTCTCTGAAATCAATAAAAACATATTTTTAAAAAACAATAAAAATGGGCCTATCCAGGAGATTCTGAAAGATTCTGTCCCTCCTCTGGACAGAGCCCTAATTGTTGACTAAAGTGTGTCACATCTTGGGTGTGGTCCTAAGAATCAGGCTCAGGCTCTTCAATGTCAAAGCCTATTCACTCTCTTAGTCCTGTCTTCCATTCCCCACACACACTGGTTCCAGCTTCAAACACTGTTTCTCAAACAGACTTAATTCTTTTGTTAATCTATACTTTCGCCCATGCTGTTTGCTTGATCAAGAACTCATTCAGCCTCCTAGGCCAACTCAATTCCCCTCCCTAAGGAATTCTGCTCTGATTGCTCCACTTAAAGAAATCTTGACTGCTTGTGAGCTCTAACACTCCCCAAGCCAGGTCCATGTCACCAGGTCACCTCTGCCTGATTGTATGGCTTCAGTGACCTACCCTTTTCTGTTCAGGAGGTATGGCTCTGGTGCAGTCTGCCTGCTCCCAATTCACTTACTGACCCCCAATTCCCAACTGAGATGGCTGTCCTGGCTGTCCTCAGGAGCACTTCTCTGGCACTCATTAAGGTCTGGGCCCTAAGTCCAGAGGCAGAAGGTGGCCATTTGTGGGAATTAGCTCTCTCTGAGAGGATGTCTGAACAACAGGCACTGCAGGCTCCTCTCTGCCAGGACATAAGTAAGGCCTTGTCTGGAGGAGGCTTGGAATCCATCTGTGTCTGGGTTGGAACAGATATCCTCCTTCCCCCTGCTGTGTCCTTCTGTTTCACTCAGCACACTATGGGAAACCATCAAGGTTCTAGGCCCAGCTTGGCTACAAACTTGTGGTGAGACTTGGAACAAGTTCCTTCCCTTGTTTGGGTCCTGCTGGCCATCTGTGCTCTGGCATCAACCGGCCTGCAGCCCACACTTCCGATGATATCTGAGTGCCCTGTGCTCCAGGGCTTCAGTTTTGTCTGGTTTTCTAGGTCTGTACTCCGCACCCAGCTTCCTCTGATGCCTCAGCCCTTGCCGACCTCGCACAGCTAGCTCCAGCTTGCACACTACTCATGCTAGCTCTCCTCCCTCTCCCAGTTGCCTGGTTCTGTCCTTGGGGCATGTCTCTTGGGCAGGACCAGGACATCCCCCCCAGGACTGTGCCCGGTTGCTTCCTTCCCAGCCTATCCAGGAGCTCAGGTCTGGACACACAGGATGTTCCAATGAAGATGGAGTGATAGTTGGGTTTTGACTCAAACTCAAAACTCAGCCTTAATGGGTTGCCATGGAGGCTGAATTCCTCACTGCTGAAGAAACCATAGCAGGAGCATCATCACTGTGTTCTCTTTCCATGGACAACTGAGTGGTACTCAAGGTGTGGTCCCAGGATTGTTGCTAGTTCACACACTCTTTGTTGCCAGTCTGTAATGAGATAAGGAACTTGCACCAGCATGTAAATCAACTACATTACTAATCACAATGTTTAGTTAAGCTGAGAGTTCCTTTTTTGAAACCAGATTTTCTTGATGAAGGAAGCAGTGAGTTGAGCTGCATCCTGGTGTAATCTCCTTATATTGTTACAGAGATAATAGCTGTGATCAGCTACTCTGAGTGGCAGTGGACTAGAAGTTCCATAAATGAGAAAATGTTTAGATTCCAAAGGGCTTTCCAGATACTAAAATAAAATAAAATAAAATAAAAGTAAATAAAGAGTTCAAGTGTCTAAACAAAGCAGGTAATTAAGAAAACTAGGTGCTTCCAGAATAGAGAAATGTCAACAAAAGAAGTAAGTCAATGTAATATTGGACTAGTCATTTAGCACAGGGAGGTGGCCCCAAGGCATACAAATTTGAACAAAATATTCACTGTTTATAAAGTTAGAAGCTAGCTCTGTAGGAAGCAAAATTGCCTAGGAATAATGGAGAGTTGGCTGGGCTAACCTTTGGGGTCATGTAAACTGGTCTCTCCCTTCTCTGGTGCCACACATAACTGAGGCCTCTTTGTCACCCATGCCCACTGTCCCTACTGTAACCCTGGGTCTCCCTGAGGACTTCCCAGGTCCTCGTAGAAGCACTGGAACCTGGGCCCTCCACAAGGAACCTTCTCATAAGGCAGCTTGGAGAAGAAAAGTTTTAGTTCTTGTCATTGCACCTCAGTTTCCTGCCCTGCTCAACACACACCTTCAGGGCTGATGTGAAGATTAAAAGCCACAGTAAAAGGAAGCTTCTTTGTATAGTGACAATTGCTGGATAAAAGTTTGTTCCCTTCCCCTCCTGACTCCCTTGAAGCAGGCAAAGCTCATAGATGACGAGGGCCAGGTCCTGAGAGGCTCAGACACTTGGCCAGTCGGACACTCAGACATTGGCAGCCTGGCATGCAAGTGGGTTCTGGGTGACTCCTAGGGACTGTCCCAATGCTCCAAGCTTCATCCTCAGCTCCTTACCTGGCCAAGCACTTCTCCTCTGCTGCACAGCGCAGGGAGTATAGGTGGGCTCTCTGGACATAGGTGGACGCTTGCACATAGTTGGGGTCTGGGACCAAGTCAGGGAGACCTGGGAATGAGCAGTGGGAGAAAGGGAGGAGGGAGGAAGAGCATGACATTGAGAGTCAGGCTGGCCATGGTTAATGCCCAGAGACCTCCTCAGCCCCAAATACCCTTTGCCATTCTTCTTCCTCTGAGCTAGGTGTGGGATGTGAGCCCTTCTCCCTAAGTTCAGGTGTGGGAGTGCTGAGACCTGCTAGCAGAGCTGGGACATGAGTAAGAGCTAGGAGACAGGGCAGAATGTGGAGAGCCAGAGAAGAGGGAAGGGTATTCTTGGTAAGGGGGAACAGCATGGACAAGACTTAGAGGCAAGACTGCATGAACCAAGTAATTTCCTGACAGAGACACCTTCCTCCATGTCCTTATTCCCCAGGCCTCTGCATCAGTCTCCAGACACCCTCTGCTCCTTTTGCCTAGCTTTTTTCATAAACCACCAAGATAGCTCTTGGCTTTTGGCCCCAAGTGAGTCCCAGCAGGCTCGTGGGAAGAGCCAGGTGAATGTTGACTGGCAGAAGTAGGGGTGGGCAGGAAGGGATGGGCTAGAAGAAAAACATATCTGCAGAGCAGGCTGCTGACTAGGCAGGGTTCTCAGCCTGGGCACCCAGCCCTATTCCTTTCTTCCAGTCATCTTCCCCCAGACAGGACCACACCCTCCCTCCCCTGTCTGCAGCCTCTGGCCTCCAACCTGAGGGCACCTGGCTTCCTCCCCTGAAGGGCTCAGGGGAAGTATGGAGTCTTCTCCAGCCCATGATCACTTGCTTTCAGGATATGTCAGGATCGGTCCATCCGACCTTCCTTCCTCCTTAACCCTCCCCAAGAATAAGTTATTCCCACTGAGGCAGATAAAGACGAAACAAGACTGTAAGCTCCTCCTAGCTTCTTTCAAGCCCTCTGCTCTTGGGGGACAAGCAAGGCAGGGGGACTCTGTCCTGTGTACAGGCTTCCAGCTCCCTCTTTTGGCTGCCAAAACTCTCTTGTCAGCCTTTAGGTCCAGAAAATGAGGCAGAAGAGGGCACTCTGGCTTCTAAGCCTTTCACAGAGGTGTTTGCCTACAAACCATCCCTCACATGTCCCCTGGGCTCCCAGACTGTACCCCTGCTCAACCTGGGGCCCTAGCCTCATGTGGGGACCGGGTCCAGGCAGCCAGTGTGACCTCACCTACTTGGAATGAAGAGAAAGCTCGGAGCACTGGGGTGGGTGAGGATGAGGTGGCTCCTGGCTGATGGAGCCATCTTGGCCAGCCTAGGTCCCATTACTCAAGCCCCCAGGAATGCCCGCAGTCATTTTCCAAGGGCTCCTCAGGCCTTCAAAGCAAGGGGATACCTTGGTGTCCAGCTGGTTCTCACACACTGGTTCCTAAAAGCCTCTGGGGCAGTGAGGAAAACAGGAATCACCCCCTACCCTTCAGCAACATGTGGGGGTGGTCAGCCGGGCTTGAAGCCTCATGAGATCCAGCATTTGGCCCCAGAAGCTGCCTCCCCCATCGCAGGCTCGGTTTCAATAAACACTGCACAGATGGCTCCACAAAGCTTTTCTGGCCTGGTCCTTCCTCTCTAGGCCAGTCCATGAGCCAACTGTGCAGTCCAGGGAAGTTAGAAGAGCCTGTTGAGTAAGAGGTCAGGGGTATTTAGGGCCAATGAGGGTTAGTGCCATTACAGACCTCTGACTCTTGTCTGACCCTTGTCCTTTATTGAGCCCTAATTCTAACCACACACTGAGGTCTGATACCTATCAACAACTCAGAATCTCAGACTCATTGCTGTTTGTCTCCAGATTGTAGACTAAAGTGTGGTACTTAAAAAACAAACAAAACAAAAACCACACCTTAAAAGGAGTTGCTTTGACATCATCAATCCTTTTTATTGTAGCTGAGTGTGGTCAGGTTTTTAAAAAAACCTCCAGAGCCATGGCTGGGGTGAGTGTGTGTGTGTGTGTGTGTGTGTGTGTGTGTGTGTGTGTGTGTATGTGTGGTTGTGGGGGGGCAGTTGAGTGCTACTTGTGGGCAGACACCTCTGAGCTGCTGGTTAGAATCTGAGCCCTGACCTTGGCCATAGATGGTCTTCCTTTTATTGTTGAGAAATATCAGGTTCAGGCGGGTGCCTCCTGCTTCCATTGGCAGGGAAGACCCACCTCCCACCCCACATTCCTATCCCCATGTTGCAGGGGTTGATGGACTGCCCATCCCAAGGGCCTCTGTCAGGTAAGCTTCTTTAATGATTAGCAGAGTAATAAAGTCACCCCTCAGTATCCAAGGAGGATTGGTTCCAGGACCACCCCCAAGGATACCAAAATCTGCAGATGCTCAAGTCCCTTAGTCAGCCCTCTTATTTTCCAGTTCTCCATCTCCAGATGCAGAGAGCCCACTATACTTTACTGTTCCATCATCCACAGGCATGCTCCTCACCCTGTCCCCTACAAGAAACCAGGGCACACAGAGGTGCTGGAGGGAACTGAGGCTCAGAAAAGGCAATGAATTTATCACAGTCACACAGGGGTTCAGGGCAGCTTCAGGAGATCCTGGGTCCTGAATCCCTCCCAGAACTCCTCTTGTCATTCTTCTTTTTTTTTTTTTAAATAAAAATGAACACTTTTGAAATTTAACCTACACACATTCAAATGTACAAATTTTACATTTGTCAAAACTTGTACAGTCTGACAAGTTTTGACAAATGTAAATATCACCCTAGTCAAGCTATGAATTTGAGGAGGGGTTGGGATCTCTTATTCAGAACGTATGGAGTAATCCAGCCCTTGGATGTGGCACTGGAGACTCTATTAAGTGGGTTCCAATGAGAACTTTCTGTGGAGACTCCTGTTTTTATAAGTGCAGAAAATGGAATTAATCATAATTCTCATTTCAGAGCAAACTAACCATTATCACTGGTCCATGCAAGGCCCAGTGATAATTGTACTAAAAAATTTTAACCTTCATTCTCACCCCTGACCCTTAGATATGTCCTTAAACATTTGTGTCTTTAGAAAATCTGCAGTGTTTATGTATTCTTAAAGCATATAATTGATATTGTCTTATCATCTCATTCTGATTCTTGAGTTTTCAGCCAATGCAAACTTTTAAGATCTATCTAGTTCACTTCTTATCATTGTCAAATAGGACTCTGCAGTATGCATCCCCCGCCCCATGGCCGATCTAGATGGTATCATGGAATAGACCCACAGGATGGGGCTAACCACCCAAAGAATGGTCTTGCTCAAGCTACCCAGGGAGACCCTGGATATCATCAGCATCCGGCCCTCTGCTCCCAGGAGGTAGACAAGAGCCTGGCTTCTACCCTCCTCTGTCACAGATGTTCTGTGTGATCCTGGGCAGGCGTGGGCCTGCTCCAGGCCTGACTGCCTCTGTTTCTTCAGATCTAAGTGTCTTCTATTCTACTCATGGCCTGGAAACCTGGGCTGGGCCCCTGTGGGCACTCTTCCATGCTGACCATGGGGTCATGCACTTAGGAATTCAGGCTGCTTAGAGCCTAGCCCAGGGTGGGGAACATTGAGTCAAAGGGCAGCAAAGGCCCCTGGGATGGTCAAAGCCAGGCTGCTTGGCTAGGGAGGGGCTGGATGTAATTGAATTGGGTCCCAAGGCCATTCCAGAGGCAGCTGCTGGTCTGGGAAGCCCTTCAGCCTAGGAGGGCCCATTAGACCCTACAGGGCAGTGAAGACACAAAGCCAAGGACAAGGGCCAGCTTTTGCATTCTGGCTCTGTCCCTAGAGCCTCCTCTGTGGGCATCCACCGCCCCTTCATAATGTGCTCAAGATTAGCCTGCCCCAATCCCTCATTGTCCAGGTCCCTTCCCTTTTCATAGGCTCAGTTCCCTCGTATGGACAATGGGGAGATTGGACTATGCGGTCCTTGAGCATAATTTGATAGCTCCATAAACACTTGGAGATTAAAATACTTTTCAGGATCTATTCAGTCTACTCTCCAGCCTTGGGCAAGAGTCTAAGACCTCTCACGACCTCTACGGATGACTCATTAACAGCCAGGAGATTCTCCCACGTCTGACCTAAATCCTTGCTCAGGAAAGATCTGTTCTCTCTTGCTCAGTGGTTCATGGAGGCTGCCCAGAACAGAGGGCCTGTGGTTACATTCCTGCTGCTTCCCCACACCTCACCTATTTCCCTGCTGACTTCCCCCTTTCTATGGGTTACATAAACCTTGTCTCCTTGGAAATCTGTCCTCACAAGAAGCAGAAGAAAGAGATGGAAATGCCAAATAGCCTGAGCCCCGGCTGGAGGATAATCCCCTGAGCCCCGGCTGGAGGATAAACAATGTCCAGCAGGAACGGGGCAGTGGGCTGTGAAATATGTGTGCAGCGGATGTTCTGGCTCATGCAGCCAGACTCCACAGGAGCCCCGAGGTAGGAGAGCAGAATGCTCACAGAGCACAGCCTTGAATAAAGATGAGCCGAGAGGGCCTCTGGGGTGGGAGCTGGCAGCTCTGTGTCCTATGAAATTACCATCAATAATGAGAACATTAAATTGTCAGCACGAGCCTGGCAGTGCCACACAAGGCAAGGTGGTTGCATGGTCCACTGTGCCCCACCATGAAGGGGCAATTGCAGCTCAGGCAAAGGAGCTGTGATGCCATAAAGTCAGGCCCAGAATTTTCAGTGCTTCCCCATTGCCTACAGAATCAAGCCCAAACTTCTCAGGGTGGTCTGGCCTTACTTCACCTGACCTTCTAGATCTTCTCTTAACTCTAAGGACCAGTAGACATCTACTTAGCATAACTGACCTTTTCTGCCCTGGCCTCTGACACGTAGTGCCCTTGTCATGGAATTCTCTACTGCACACACACACACGCACAAACACACACACACACACACACACACACACACACACACACACACACACACACACCAGCTCTGACCTCACAGTCTTTAGGCCAAAGCCTACCTTGTCAGTCTTGACCATCCCTTTGCCACTACCCTAACCCCCCTCCCAGCACACATCTGCTGCCCCTACCCACCTGGGAGACACAGTCCAGTAGCAGTGACA